GATCGGATACGGAGTTCGCGAACGGACAGAATACGGAGGAATACGGAATAATGTGCTGTGGTTTTCTGAAAACGGGTCGCGTGCGGTCCGTATGCGGTTCCTATTTCAACCGCGCGCGAACGCTGAGCGTCCGTAACGGATCCGTTCGCATTTTACCTGTGTTTACCATGGTTTCAAAACTTTCGCAAGTTGAGTTTTCTAGGCCGTCAATTTTTATGGTCAGAAAACTGTTTAAACGAACTTTCGAAAAATTTTCGAAATTATCCGTGTTCAAAACATTTTTTTTCGAAAAAGACACATCGAATGCACCTGGGTAAAAATTTTATGAAGCATAACTGAAGCGAAGACTCCTACTACTCATATCCTAATGTTTTCGTAGAGACCTTCGCTTTTTTATGATTTTCATAAGACTCCTGCCAATTGGTTCCAGTTGGTTTACGTATCGAACGCTCTGTTGGAACCTACTATTCCTTTCCTTCAATCTTTCTTCCATATTCTCAAAGCATCTCTTCAAAAAATGTCACGCAATTTGGGTCCAGAAGTATCTAATTTCCCTTCAAACCGTGGGAACCATCTTCAGCTATCTCCTTCCTTTTTTCCATTTTCAGTCCCAATAAAATCGTCGTCTACATTTCTTTTCTTCACTGAAGTTTTTTTCTTTTCTTCAGAATCCCTGGAGACATTTTAACAGAGAATGGTCTTCATACTTGTTTTTTTTTTGACTAAAGAAAACCCATGAATTTCTTAAAATTTTCCATTTCAGTTCACTTTCTGAAAACTCTTTTGGAAACAATCACTTCCTATATCCCTCCTTTCCTGTTATTTGATTAACATTCCGTTTTCGTTTCTTTCTTTTTTTGCATCGTAGTAGTCCACAGATTTCAGAAATTTAGGCACAGCATCAAAATTAAATGACGACGAGTTTGTCGAGAGAGAAGACGTCGAAAAAGAAAGAGCTGGTTGAGACAAGCCAACGACGATGAATCACAAAAATTCGTATCAGTATCTCGACACGGAGTCGTAAGTTTTCATTTCCTTTCTTTTGGTTTTTGAACGGAATGATAGAATAAGAAGTTCTTATTTAGAACAAAGAGTTTCTGAGAGATATTTTTGACTTTCAATTGTTTGATAGTTTCATTTTCAGTGATGTTCAGAGTTCTACTAAAAAAAAACAGGGTTTCAGATATAATATTTCCAAATTGAGTTCATGAAATAAATAGGAGAGAACAACATAATTGTATAAGCAAAAATAATAAGACCGGTACTAACGAACACAGCTACCATAAAAACTCTAATAGTATGCTACCCAGTCTTTTCACTTTCAACTAATGTATCTCGGTTCCAGTGGAAGATATCCAAAAGCAATTTACAAAATATTTTTGATATTAAAATCGACATTTTATTAGTTGACCACGTTTCGATATCTTTCACAGGGAAAAAGATATATGAGCTCAAAGTTAACCAGTCGGATTATGCCCCCTGGCTCAACCCCCTGGCTTCTGATCACTGTTACACTTAAAGTTCTCAATTCCAAATTTTCGAATATGCCAAAACTTTGAATCACTGAAACTACTGCTATAAATTTCGGAAATTGTGAAATACGGATTTTTTGAATTCCCGAATTACGGAAGTTCCAAACATCTGGATATCTGAATTTCAGGCTTACTGACATTTTCTCTAGAATAGTCAAATTTTAAAGTTTACATCTGAATATGCAAGTTCAGGAGTTTTTATTTTATGTAATGTCTAAGTTTTTTTAGTTTCAGAATCTCCGAAACTTTTAATTCCCTAACTTTCGATGTTTCGAATTGCTAACTTTTCGAATTTCCGGAATTCAGAAAAGCAAAAAACATTTGGGAACTGAAAATCTCAGTAATTCGAAAATTCGAAACTCGAAAGTTTAGAAATTGAGAGACTAAAAAATTTAGAGAATCGGTTTTTGAGCTGATTAAAATTTTATAGAACTGAAAATGCATGGCCCCAAAAGAGCCCTTAAGTTTAACCGGCTGTATATAACTGGTATAAATTTTCCCATCATCGGACCGCCGGTCCCAACGAATTGCGACAACGGTCCCATTGTTTCGATAACGGTCCCAACGTCCCGAGAACGGTCCTAACGTTCCGACAACGGTCCTAACGTTCCGACAACGGTCCCAAGGGTACGACAACGGTCCCAACCAGGCTTAATCTGGAAACCCTATTCAAAACATCGGAAATTGTAATTTTCGTTTCAACAAAGAAACATATTTCAGCAACAAAAACGAACATTTTGCCGATAATTGAGAATTCCAGCACTTTTTTACTGGAATTTTTTCAGAGTGTATTTTGTTTATAATTATAGGCTTAGGCTAAAACGCCTTGTTCACATCAGTGCCGGAAAAAGGCGTTTTGGCTTAAGTCTAAAATACAAAAAACGTATCATTTTGTGAAAAATTCCTGTCAAAAAGGTCCTGAAATTCGCAAGTATAAGTAAAATCTATAAGTAAAATGTATAAGTAAAGTATAAGTAAAACTTTTCCACTGGATTTTTAAAAGACCATTCCGTTTTTTTTTCTGTATTTCGGGAATAGGGTTTCCAGATTAAGCCTGGTTGGGACCGTTGTCGGAACGCTGGGGCCGTTCTCGGGACATAGGGACCGCTGTCAAAACAATGGGACCGTTGTCGCAATTCTTGGGACCGTTCTTCCCGGAAAGAGTCAAATTTTATTACTTCCTTTAAATTCGGAGAAGATGTTTGAAAGTATTTATTTTCAGTAGGTCGAAATAAAAAAGGTAAAAAACCAGGCACACATCCACAGTGTTTGATCCAGCGACGTATGCTGTTGCTCTTAAATGAGAAGGTTCTCAAGTTCGCTGGGGCGCTGTTTCTGACCAAGCCTTTTGAACCGATATACTTTGATAAATAGTCCAAAAACTCCGAATTCTTTGCATCCTCACACTCCCAGCTGCAGACAAAAAATGATCCATGCCCTTTCTCCCTTCTCTTCCCCAATAAATGACACTTCCTCACCAGAAAAAAGAAGCGAGAAAGATAGAAAAAACCCGGGCAAGTTCCGGTCCATCCGATGAAAAATGTGCTCTTTGGGCTGAAATATGATTCGAGTGAGTACATAACTGGTCTCCAGGGACATCAATCTTCCCTACTATTTTTTGTATTCTTTCATAATTTTTCCAAAATTCTCAACGAGGTTCAACTGTACCCAAGCAGCATTCGCTCTATGATTCCAAAGCCGAAAAAAAGGAGAGAAGAAGGCGTCATCAAAAACTTTTGACATCTTCGCTCTGTCTCTTCGAATAAGATTACCGGGCGGTGCTTACGAAGCGATGCTTCGGTCGACAGAATTTTCTATTTTCAATTTTTTTTTCGCCAAGTTTTCAACGACGTCTTCAACTACGGGTGGGAAAGGGGAATCAAAAAGGGAAAAGCCAAGTGGGCGGAGCCTATTCGTGTTCGATATTACACAAGTTTTGACAAGAGAGAAACGGGAGCTCATCTCGTCAAATTCGTCTCGGGCGACATCTTCTGTTTTCTTCTTCTTTTTTCTTCTTTCTATCATTCTCCTTATTCAACCGCCGTAGTTCCTTCTTCTTCTTGCTTCTCCTCCATCATCATCTTCACACTCACTGATTTTTTGGGCATTCCCTTCCCTTAGGGCATTTTTTTAGATTCTTCCTGTGCCTTCTTTTTCTTCTCTCTCCAGTTTCCACAAGTACTCTTTCCGAATTGTTTCCATAGAACCAAAACTAGAAAGTGTCAACGTACTTCAAAATTTTTTGCATCTAGACTTTTCGAAAATCTCAATTTCTAGTTTTCAAAAAACATTTCAAAGTTTTTGTTTATTTAACTAACCAAACTCCGACTATCACCTTCTTCTTCATCTTTTTCTTCTCCAGACACAAACAATTGTTCCTCCGGTGTGGTCACCATTGAGATCATAGCTCAAACATCCGCCACGTGTCGCATCCCTTGTTTTTGAACTTTCAGGAATATGTCAGGTCCTCTGGGAGGTCTATCCCATTGTCTCTTGCTTTTTTTTGAAGCGCTTTTTGAAAAATTTAAAGACGTTCTGACATCCATTTTGACTTTGCATCTCACACCACACTGGACACTATTGGTCTAGTTTTTTATATATTTTTGAGTCATGTTCAAAAAGGTACAAAATTGTTCAGTATAGTGGGCGTAGTGGTCAGAATAACATTTGTATTTCGTTGAAAAAATCAGCTTGAAAGGGGACTCTAACCAACATAAAAAATTTTTCTAATTTCGTATGTTTTTAATAATTTTTGCGAGAAAATTGAGAAAAATCCGATATCCCCGGAAAAGGTCGCTGAAAGTGAAAATATCGCTAAAAAGGTGGCGAATAGGGACGAGGATTTGAGTTCCCGCGCAGTGGAAAACCTAGGCCTGCGGGCCGTCTTTTTTACCTGAAAATTTTTCCAGATTTGTCCGCTTTTATCTCCGGCAAAAACCATACGAAACCTCTATCGGCCATTCGAAAAAAGCGTCACGTCGCCTTGGAATAGGTTTACTCACTGCGCTGGAATTCAAATTCTCGACCCTATTCACCACCTTTTTTAGACGAATTTTCACACTCTACGGTTTTTTCAAAGATTGCGATTTTTCAGAATTTTTCCGAAGTAATATTTTGGAAATACAGAACTTTTAGAACATTTTTTGTTTGAAAAATTACAAATATGTTTTGGTCGGAATCCCCCATTAAAAAGAGAAATCGGAACCCAAAATTAAAAAGAAATTAGATCCCTAATTTTGAGTCCCTGGCTCTTTTTAAAGTTAATTTTCAGTTTTGATAGAAACAGCATTACCAAATATTTAGAATGAGTTCCCTGTCATTTCAAAGTTTTATCCACTCCCGCCGTAACCAACAACACAAAACACATCTGTTTTCGTTTTCCATTCAATTTGTCTCGGTCTTTTTGTTTCTTCTCATTCATCATCATGTGTTGAAGCTGGCCCACAGATATATTCTATTTCTTCTCCTTCTTCAAATTATCTCAAATTGTTTTTAAAGTGCAACTGTTATTTTTCTTCTTCAGTATCCTCCTTCAAATACACATCAATAAATCCTTTTAAATCTGGAGAGAAGGACGTCATCGAGACGAGAGAATGATTGGAATGGAGGATGGCGTCCGGTACTTCTTCTTGCTCCCATTTTTTTCCTTGAGACCCTCCACTTGAGTTAATAAGTTTTTCGAGTACTGACTACTGCTAAATCTAACTTTAGAAGCTCCTGCGGGGGAAGATGATGCTGCTACGCAAAAGGTGTAATAAAACTAGTGAGGGATATCAGGAAAACAAAAAACTTTATTTCTTTCAAATTGGACAATCAAATGTTTAGTGGTGACTCTTTGTCTCCTGATTCCGCGAGCCCACACGATGTCATTTTACTGAGAAGAATCTCTGGTTTCTTTTTTGTGACAACTAGAAAAAAAACTCAAGAAACATTTGAGGGCCCGAAAACCTAGAAAACCAAAGGAAATTGAATAAAACTGTTTTAAATTGAAGGATGCTGTCGGCCCAAGGACGTCGATTCTCTCGTTGTGCTCCGTCTCCACGACCAAGAAATCGAAATTTAACGAACATGCCTCCACCGGCAGCAGTACATATCCGGACGAATGATATGATAAGTCCAGAAGAGAGAAGGTAGGACATTTTCATTATGAAAATTGATCAGCTGGAAAGAAATTTATGAATCGGGAAAACAGAGAGAATTTTAGCTTTCTGAGCTTTCTCTTTGATTGAATATCTAGAACTATACTCATAAAGTTTGGATATGAATATAGCTGATAGGAATATTCCCAGTTCCCAGACAGCATATGAAAATTCCGAAAGGTTCGAAAATCTCAACGAATTTTAGATTCCTGGAAGCAGCAGAACTCGGAAACAAGCCCACTCTTCAAGAGTTTCTGGATTATGTAAGCCCTTAAGCTTTTCTTCAATAAAGTGAATTATCATTTTCAGCATGATGGTGAACGTCGTCTAAATGTGAATTGTCTGGATTCAATGGGTCGAACTGCCTTGGAAATCGCAGTTGATAATGAGAATATGGAAGTCGTGGAATTGCTTCTTCAACAACCAGATATCCGAATAGGAAATGCATTATTGTGTGCGATCCGAGAAGGTAAAACTAGAAATCTTTACCCTCCAAAGAAAATTCTCATTTCAGGAGTGTATCGACTGGTCGAAGTTCTTGTGAACCATCCGAACATCACAAAGGAAATGCTTGGAGAGGGTTGGACGCAAGCTCTAGATCCTTCAGAGGCAGCAAGTGCCGAGTATTCCAGTGATATTTCTCCGGTTATTCTGGCTGCTCAACTCAACCAATTCGAAATTTTGCAAATGTTGATAAGGAAAGATGCCAAAATTGATCCTCCGCATAAGTGAGTATTGGTTCATAAATTTCGAGGAAATTTTTTTCTGTTTTTTTCAGCCATACCTGTATCTGTGAGACCTGTGATCGTGAGCGTCTGAATGATTCTCTACAGTACTCTCTTAAACGGATAAATACATATCGAGCACTTGCAAGTCCTGCCTATATGTCTCTTACCAGTTCGGATCCTATAAACGAAGCATTTAAACTTTCTTGGGCTCTCCAAAGATTGGCATTCGAGGAGCATGAATTCAAAGAGACATACCTTCAGCTCTCGGAGCAATGTAAACAATATTCCTGTGATCTGCTGAGCCAGTGTCGGAGTTCTGAAGAAGTGATTGCAATTTTAAATAAGGAGAATGATAACAATGATAATATCGATTTATGGGCAAGCAAACTATCTCTTGCCAGACTGAAACTGGCAATCAAATATGAACAGAAAGCTGTAAGTTATTACCTTTTCCTATGAAAAAACTTGCCTTGTAAAAATTTTCAGTTTGTTTCACACCCCCATTGCCAACAATTGCTCACATCAATTTGGTACGAAGGGATTCCATATCGTCAACAGAGTGGAACATGGGCCAGCTTCTTTCTCTACGCATTCTTATTAGCCTTCTGGCCCGTTTTCTGTCTTCTGTATATTTTAGTGAGTATATCTTTACTTCTAGGATCTCCCTGAAACAACTCATTCATTTCAGATGCCAAGAAGTCGTTTAGGAAAACTAGTCCGATCGCCCTTCATGAAATTTTTCTATTATTCAATTTCTTTTGCAACATTTCTGGGATTATTAACATGGGCAACGTTTGAAGATTATCGATATGAGAAAGGAGAAAGAGTGAGTTTCGGATGCCATTTGTTTCAATTCCTCTGTTGAATTTTCAGGGTGGTGTAACGCGAGCATCAGACAGAGGACCACCTGCAACATGGGTGGAATCTCTAGTTTTCACATGGGTCATTGGAATGTTATGGTCAGAAATCAAGCAATTATGGGAAGAAGGATTCAAGAGATACATGAGACAATGGTGGAATTGGCTTGATTTCCTCATGATCTGTCTCTATTTGTGCACAATTTCCATTAGGTACGATTGGTGTGTTTTTCAAAATAAAATTTTCGGAAACGGGTGAACTCGAAATATTTTCTAACGAATATTTGAACCGCAAAACTAATGCGTTTAGTCCATTTTTGGATGATAGCCTAAGTTTTGCAAGTTTACTCTTCTAGGCCACAATGGTAAATATTTTCAGATTAAGCGCGTACTACATTTTCACATATCGCGAAGATCCATATCGATATACGGTTCGAACTCATTGGCAATCGGAAGAACCGATGCTGGTGGCTGAAGCCTTGTTTGCTGTTGGAAACGTCTTCTCATTTGCTAGAATCATTTATCTCTTTCAGACGAATCCTTACTTGGGACCACTTCAGGTTTTGTAAATGAACTGAACTGTTTTTCAAAATAAAACTTTTCAGATCTCCCTCGGATGTATGCTTGTGGATGTTGCGAAATTCTGTTTCATTTTTGTCCTTATCATCAGCTCCTTCTCAATTGGACTGGCTCAACTTTACTGGTACTATGATCCGAATACGGATGTCTGCGTACCCGGTTCCACGTGTAGATCAAGTACAAATGTGTTTTCTTCGATTGCTGATTCTTATTTGACACTTCTTTGGTCCTTGTTCTCTATCACCAAACCAGAAGACACTGATGTCATTGAAAATCATAAAATCACGCAGTGGGTTGGTCAAGGAATGTTCATTATGTACCACTGCACTTCAATCATTGTACTTCTGAATATGTTAATTGCCATGATGTCTCATTCTTTCCAAATTATCAATGATCATGCCGATCTGGAGTGGAAATTCCATCGAACTAAACTCTGGATGGCTCATTTCGATGAAGGGTCCAGTCTTCCACCTCCATTCAACATCATTATCACACCGAAATCTCTTATCAATTTCGTGAATTGCCTTCTGAATACAGTAAGATGGCTGTTAGGGAAATACACGTATCAGAAGAATCGGAATCGAGCAACGATTCGGGTAAGTTTGGCATAAAAGACAATGAGATAGAGTAAGAAAGCATTTCAGCGCCCTGGCTACTCTCGAAAAAGGAATGAAATGGAAAAATCTGGAGGTCAAGATGATGATTCTGGAAAGGCACCGTTGACATATGCAAGTATAATTCAACGACTTGTGGCAAGATTCATACATCAAACAAAGAAAGAAATGAAAATGGATGGAGTTAATGAAGATGATCTTCATGAAATCAAACAGGACATTAGTAGTTTAAGGTACAGCTTTAAATTCATGTTAATACTATCCGGTATACCGTAAAACCTTTATTAGAACCCTTCTATTACAGGGGCCCTTCAATTAGAGGAGGTTCTTCTATTTTCCGGCTATTTTTCCGAAATTTTTCATAGAAACTTTTGGTGAATTATCAAATTTCATGCAAATCTATAAGTTTCACCAAAATTATGCAATTTTTCGAGAAAATAAGAGTTTCCAAAAATTGTTGTAAAATTGTGGAATTTCCGGTGATTTTTTTACTCAAACTTACGGAAACTTTTAATTTCGAAAACGCAATTTTGAAGGAGGTCATTCTATTAGAGGGACTTTTCTATTAAATACAGGTATTACGGTAGATACACATCGACTTTCTCTTATTTTCAGATATGAACTCCGAGACGATCGTCGAAGAGAAATCGTGCGCAGTTCGTCTCATATTGACGCTGTTAAACGGGACATAATGCGCACAATGAGCACGAATTCGAGAGCAAGAGTATACGGTGGAAGTATGAGATTACCAAAGACTCGACCATCAGTGGCAGAAGAATCAGAAGAAGAAGATAAATCAGATGAGACAAGTTCCAGCGATGAAGAGGCTGATGAGACGAGGTTTTTCCTAAAGTACTTTCCTTCTACTTCTACGCTTTTATTTTCAGTTTTCGATTCTAGTTTGTATTATAATTGTATCGCTGAGAATTTTAAGTCACTGATATGAGCTACCGTTTTTTCAGGTCGCGTAAATCATCAGTTCTGTATACTCCTCCTGTGAATTCAACGCTTCCGGGAATCATTAGCGAAGAGGCTCCAGTAAGAAAACATCCGAAGAGAAGAGCCAGTGAAGCCGATTCAAAACTACCTGATAGACCTTTATCTGAGACTTTCACATCTTCATTCGCGGTGAGAAATTTTAGTCCGAATTGTTTAAAGTATGAATTTCAGCCAAAACTGCTGCCAGTTTTCGCTCAACCACCTCATAGTGCACTTCGAAAAACAGATACATCAATGAGTTTTCCCATAAATGGAACTTCTTTAGAAGCATCGATTGTCAAACCACCCAGAGGAGTTTTAAGGTATTCCATGACCATTTGAAAAAAAAGTATCAAGAGGAAATTTCAGAGCATCACAAGAAAATCTGAATACAGTGGAGTTGATGGAAATGTTGAGGAAAGAAATGAACGAGAAGTTTGACCGACTGATCAGTGGAATGGTGGAAGTAAAGAGTCCTGCTTCCCAAAGTCATGTGGAGTTTAGTGTCGACAAATGATCTTCTTTCCTTTTTGATTATATTTATTCTGAACGGGTACTTTTCAAATATGATAGGAAAAATTCAATTTCAATTTTTTCAATATATAAATATTTAGCTCCCCAACAAAATTCAACTTTTGCAATTAAAATTAAAAACAAAGCGGATAGAAAAAAAATTGTTTCAAGCGATACTCTCTTCCAGAATCGTTGCTTTTTTTTGTGCTGTAATTTTAAGTCTCCGAGTTCTGGATGGCGGTTTTTTGATGAGAGATTCCATTTGGACGCTTTCAGATTTCCTAGACGGACCAGTTGATGTTTTATGACAGGATATCTGAAAATAGGATTTTCAGATAGTTTGAGAGTGGGACAACATCTACTTACAATTTTTTAAAAATATTTCTAACGACGTAATGATAGAAAAAGAAAATACAAACATGCTCAGAAACTATTCGGGTTGTGCAAAAAGTGATGAACGCGCAAGTGCAATAAGTGAGTAATAAAAACTAATGACTAGAAGTTATACGAAATCTCAACATACCTCAATTTGATTCAATATTAATTTTGTCTGAAAATCAGGAAGAAACAGTTAGTAATAGATTAATTATAAGCGATGTTTTGTTTAGTTGCCGTTTTTTGGAGTTCTCATTTTTTGAGACATTTTTAGAATTCACATAAAAAGCCTGAAAACTCTAGACAACTGAACTACCAAACAAAACAAGGGATGCATAATCGTACATCATTAGCCGTATTAGTAGGACCATAGGACAAGCGATGTCGGATACTGTTGAAAAACGTTCGCCGAAGCACGTCGTCATTTAACTGAAATTGGAATCAATGAGAGAAATCTGACTGGTACCTTCGAATGAATAATGAAGAAGCACGCAATGTCTACCGTATCAACTGTTGCGTCGATGACCATTCGGCATATCCATCCGATGAGAGCGGCTGCTGTGTTCCACATGTATGATACGACTGCTTCTAGACACATTGGTTCGTTCTGAAACTGGAAGAACTGGGGATATGAAGTGAAGCATGAAATTTTATATCAGAAGAATTATTGAACCCAGAATTAACATGATTTTTGTTGGCAAAGTTAATGGAAGACGCTACCTAACGATAACCAATTACCGTAAACAATCTAATAGAAGACCAAGAAAACCGTCAACTTTGAAGCTGCGATGCTGCAAAACTAGGAACTTTCAAAAAAAATCTGTGAATGCGAGGTTCTCAATCTAGGTCTAATGTACACCTTACAAAGTTTTCGAAGTGATCGGAAACTTGACAGCCGAGCTCCAGACCCCGGAAATTGATCAAAATCAACTGAAAATAAACTGAAAAATACGTTTTTAAAAATATCTTTTGAAAAATATTTTGATAAACTTTTTGTCAGTTGACCACTTTTTTAAAAATCTTTTCCAAGGACCTAGATTGGCTCAAAGTTATTAGGCTGGCCTTCTACATATTTGAGTGTTTACAGCAATTCCACAAACCAACCTTTTGATGCTGCTCACAAAAGTTTCCAATAGAAAACGATCCGAGATAAGCTGTTCCAGTTAGTGCACATGTTCCAGCAAATAGAATTAAATGAATACCAAGGCGAAGCATCGATCCCCAATGTCGGTGGTATGAGGAAACTTTTCTCCTGGAGAATAGGAGGTGAATAATGAATACATAGCTGACAACGGATATCAAATAAAAGAGTATCGGTGGCAAAATTGTAACTATAAGACTCCGTGTTCCTGGATGTGTATTGATATGCTGGCACAGATCAACGATCCATTCTCCGATGTACTGAAAACTGACAATTCAGATTTAAATTTCCGGTTTCGCCCACCTCATCAGAATCAAAGTCATCGAGAAACAAATGGATAACGGAATTACTGTTATAATCCAACTCTCCTTGATGAACCAATAGGACACATAGGAAAAAACAAAAGAGAAGAGCCATCCACCCCATCACTATATATTTCGCCACTTTCATGGAAGTTAGATTCACCTGAATTCCCTTTTAGTTAATTTGAGATCAATTTTAATGAATACCTTAACTGTAAAGGTGCTCTAACAGCGTAGTTGGTAAGAACAGCAATTCCAGAATATGACAAACTGACACACCAGTAATTTAAAACAAATACAACTTGAAGTACATATCGCGAGACACCAGATTCCACTGGGAGGCAAATATGGGAATCGCATCTCTCCATTTTTTGTTTCATATAAAAATAGGCGCCGACCAGAATTGTGAAAATATCGGCGCATGTTCGGTTTATAGTCAATGCATATCGTTTTAAAGGTAATTTACCTTTCCGGATTCCTACAGTAACCACAATCAAATAAATCACATTTGCTGAAAATATAAGGAAGGATTACGGTAGCTTCAAGTTTCCAGTCTCACCGATAAAAGCTCCAGCTGCACTAAATGGTAAGAAAAAATAGAGGGTTGCGAACATGTGTTCAACATCTTTATAGTATTCAGATTCTTCTTCTGGAGTACACGTAAGGGAAGATGTGTTCGGAGGCGGTGGTATCATTCTGCAAAAAAAAAGAGTAAGAATGATATTATCCAGACCAAATGCCTGAATATGGTGGTTGATTTGAGAAGAAGAATAGAAGAAACGAGCATAGATCGAATGAACCGAGAAAGAATAAAACGAACTTTTTTTCGAGTTGCAAAGAAATTGAAAATTCTGCCAAAAAGGGACATTTTTGTCAGGAGATGTGAATAGGAGAATGCGGTCGAAACATTCCAATTAAAACATAACTTTTTGACGAGTTTCGGGTTAATATCCTCGCGAACGAGTGACAAAAAGATAGGGAGAGAAGGGAAAGGGCATGCAACAAAATATGAATAATTGATAATGACCTATTCAACTGGGAACGGGTATTGAGAAGAGAAGTGACGGGTTCTAGACTTTTGTGACTCTACGTGGATGTTAGAGAATAGGATAGATTTCTTCCTATTAGATGTGGTTTGAATATTACGGTTCATTGGAGCCGTATGGTACTTACAGTATCATAATTCTTGGAAAAAATAAAAAACGTTTCTAAAAGAGTACCGAACTTATTAGAACCATTATTCTGGTACCAAAAGTCGTAGCTGTGGAAGAGAAACGCCGGAGTCGTGGGAAAAGATCCCACAGCGACAACTACCGTAACCTAAAAATTGTTAGTTCCTGGATTTTTGTGCAGATTTTCTATATTTTTCGGTTTTTTTGGGAAAACAGAAACATATTTTTAGGTTATGGTATTTGTCGTTGTGGGAGCTGGGAACTTCGGCTCCGATTTTTGGTACCAGAATAATTATGTTTGATAATCTAAAATTTGGAAAACCAATAATCGTTTCTTAACTAAAATACAGTTTCAGCAGAACCTTTGATTTTCAAAATTCGAGAAACTTGTTAATGTAGTTTGTGCGTCGGAAATTCTAATGAGCAATGTACAGATGGATCTAGAAAAGCAATAATAAACATGTTATTTCTCAATTCATTGATTAATTTCCGTCATAGAAACTAATTACAGAATTATGGAGATGCCTAGATGATGCATCAAAATAATAATTTTAAAAGAACGTCAGTTAGTATAGTTGAAAGTAACTAAACTCTATCCATTAGTAGTATAAGCCCTCCGGCATAGTGTTTTTTTTCTTCTCGATATTTTTTTAATTGCAGGTTAATATAAAGAAAAAACGGAGAGAAAACAATCATCTGAAAGTTAATTACATGTTTTTAGACACCAAAGTAGCAATAGAATTTTCAGAGTCATAAGGTACGAAAAGAATGATCTCCAAACGAGACTTGGAACTCTTTTTTTTGCGAGGGAAGTTCGGTTCAAGAAATCAACAAAAGAGTGCTGCGAGATGGGCGTGTCCTCTTTTCCTGATTAAGAGGGATGTGAACAGAAAAAAACGGCAAAGACGTCGGAAAGGCAGAAGACGTCGCAGATTCTAAAGTGACTTTGAGAGAAAATGTGTTCGTTAATCTTCTAGAGAGGAGAAAAATGCTCGAGTAAAAAGCGGAAGAGAAAAAAGAAACGGGCGAATTTCTTTGCTCTTGGTAATGAAATTGTTTGGGTGGGCTCCTCTCGGAAGAACACTGATAAACGGAGAGTGAACGGAGAGTGTGAACGGAGAGTGTGAACGGAGAGTGTAAATTAGGATGATTGAAGTTTGAACATTTGTAGAATAGACTAAAGCTTGGTTAGTGTTTATAGACAATTTAAAGTATGCCTATCCATCTTTCTTGACTGAAAAGGAACCTGACTTGTTTAAAAAAATCAAAGTGGGGTTCCAACCAATTTTTGTGTCTTTTTTTTTCATTAAAATATTCCTGAAGTTATGTATTTTTGTAATATTACTTGGAAAAAGTCCCGAAAAAAATGGAAACCCGTCTGAAAAAACGCCGTCGAAAATTCATGAGCGCTTAGTTCTCGTCCAAGAAGGCCGTAGGAATCCTAGTCCAAGGCCATTCGTTCTAATGCAATTTTTTAGAATTTTTCACAGTTTCCGATCGATTTTTTACTGTATTTAAAAAATTGAATAGTTTCATTGAAAACTCGACGTAGAGAGCAAACAAAGTCTGGTTGACCTGGCAATTAGCTGATAATGAAAAAACTGCTCACACAGTGGCCTTGGACTAGGATTCATGCAACCCTCTTGGGCTAGAACTGAGAACGATTCCATTTAGGACTGCGTTTTTCAAACATTTCAGTTTTTTTTTCGGAATTTTTTCAAAGTAGTTTTATGAAAATACATAACTTCAAGAACATTTCAATGCAAAAAATTACACAAAATTTGTCTCTGAGTCCCTCTTCAGTTAGAGAAATTGCTTTGTAACATCTAGTGACATAAAAAATAGGGTACTTTCTAGAAACACAGATTTTGAGAAATATTTCGATAGAAAGGGTGGAAAAGGTACCGAAAGGGAATCTAAACTCCTTCGAGCACTTTTTGTGCTTTCTGATTTCAAAACATGTTTCATTGAAGCTTTGAAAAACAACCATAAAGCTCATATGACATTTATATCCCACCGGTATTTCTATCTGGCTCCAGAAGTTAGTCATTCTGATCATTAATTGGTTAATTAGTCAGAAAAGTCATGATCAACAACGATAACCACTGGATCATGAATAGGATTTTTGTGATTTGTGTAGATCTCCCAAGTCTAACTTGAAGATAAAAGTCGAGCTCATTTTCTCGAAACTTTGCCAAACCGAAAATAGAACTGGGAGGGTCATGTGACTTTCCCAACATGAAACAATTGTGATGGGAATCGGAACTCAACTGTTGCTCTTTTTCTCATCAAGAAAGTCGTCTCCAAATTCTCATTTTCCAATATCCATCTTATTCCGAAATGGGACTAAAAGACGTCGTTCTGTCTACTGAAACCTAGCAATCTAACTCCCCGTGTGGATAAGGGAAAATCTTTGGGGGAATGGGTAAACTTGAATTTTTTCATCAATTCCCTTCCTCCTATTTTCCTTTCTTTGCTTTTTCTGTTTTTGGTTTACTTTGCCTGTCGTTTTTCCCTTTTCACCGCCCAAGAAAATCTCATTAGATGAGCTATTGTAGGCGAACTTTTTTTGGCAAGGGAAAAAATATAACACAAGAAGAGGAATGGCGATGGATGGATGGGTGGGAAAATGAAACATGAAAAGAATTGGGAAACGTGGCGGGATTAGAAGACGAAAAACAATCAGATGAGAAGAAATAGGGGAAAGAGAATTGCAGACAGAATGAAAAACAGATAGAGAGAGAAAGCAGTGCTAGTGACACAAGGAATTTGAAAATTTAAAGAATTTCAGAGTGTTCCGAAATACTGGAAAAACATTTAAACCGAATGTGTGAACATTTTATTCTATATGTAGTTTCGAAAGTGGTGTGACTAGCAGAATCAGTAGAATCTAAATCTATCAGCGAGTTATTTAAGATTTTAAATATTTTAAATTCAAAGGAAAAATGCATATATAGTTTTAGAAATTGAACGGCGCTTTTCAAACTGATATCTTAAATCGAAAGAAGTTTCAGAATGAATCATCTCACATGATGATTACCGTAAAAACCATTAGATAGCCACCCTTAATTGAATGCCAGTCTCTAATATATTGGGAATGCCACTGCTGATATGATGTCAATATGTTAAAAGTTAATGTAATAATTATAAGCACAAATAATCATTTTCTGATTTTCATGTTATTTTAAGATCACAAGAGGTACTGTATTTTTCAAAACAGTTTTAGGATAATATCAGACACCGAAAGTCAGTGAGACTCTGAGAAAGAAGAAGAAAAATCGAGAAAAAACTCGAAAGTCGTTGTATCAAAGAGTTAAAAATATGGTACTTTTGTGATGAGTTTCAATAGGAAATCGGCGCCGAAAAATAAAGTGCCAGCCTCTAATTGAATGTCAGCCCCTAATACAGCGCCACCCCAGGCCATCCCGAACAATAGAGGGCCATAGCTATCTAATAGAGTTTTTACGGTATTTCAGAGCGGCGCTCAAAATCTAATATTCTGTAAAAACGTTTGTCTCGAAAGCTTCGAATTGAATCGCCTAGTCTTACGGTTTTGTACCTGCATCCCATCGGAGAAAAGCGCGGGAAAATGTTATTGTAAAATACGTTCCGAAAAAATCACCGTGTCTCATGTTCTAGCGTATGTTATACAAAAAAACTTACACCATGCTCATTGTAAATCAACTCTAGGCGAAAATAACAAACACGGTGTTTTTCCGGAACGTTTTTAAAAATATTTTTCCGATAGAATGCAGACACTCTGAGTAGTGAATGTCAGAAGAAGTTCAATTAAAAACGTTCGCTTAAAGACTAACGTTAATTTACCAGATTATTACAGTATATGTTCGAGCGCATTAACATGACGTCTCCCAAGAACCCTGTGATTAAATAAATTTCGACTGAAAAATAAACGCCTTTAAATTACTGTTGTTTCAAGTTTGACTTGAGATAAAAATACAGATATCTGAGATTCCAGAAATGTGTGAAACCTTGTTTTCTTTGTAAAAAAATGCGTTCTTTGAACATCTGGAAGTGACTAATCATAAGAGAATATTGAGAATTCTGGTCTTTTTTTTCAAATATCCCTGTTTTGACAGGTGAACTGTTTTCAGGTTTCCAGAAATGGCAATAACAAATGGAACATTTATAAAAGGTACAAAATGAATTAGTAAAACTTTTGAGGCAGGAAAAATTTATAACAATTCAAAAACATTCCGACATAAAAAAGGATTCTCGAGATTTTTCATCATTTGAAGAATACGAGACATGACGTCATGCTTAGTAAAAGTTTAGGACTTTTTTCGAACCGATATTTTTTGTCGTTTTCAAATAAGGAGTCTCTTGAAAAATGAAGAAATAACACATTAGAAATGTCTAATTTTGGAAGCAGAATCAAAATCAGTGTTACTTTAAATTTCAGCAAAATTCAGAAATTTCGTTTCCTAACACAGGGAAAAAATGTTTTGAGGATCTCTCAAAGTGTTAGACATACTTATGTTGTATAATTTCATCAAATGTTCCGTATTAGTAGCTTTTCCAAGAAAAAAAGAAAAAATTAGAAAAGTTTAAAATCAAAATCAGACGATGTACTTCTGATAGGGATATATTTTTGATTCCTTAGTAGTCTAGACGGTTTGAATAAAAGGGTAACTCTGTCTGAAGAAGTCCCCAAAGGTTTTCATTTAAAAATAATCAAAAACAGGTGGCTAGGAAAATGATTTGGGTGTAAACTAATGGAGTTCGATGAAGAGAGAATGAGAGGATAGAAATTAAAACCCGCGAAAAAAGAATTTCCTTCCTCCATACATTCCAAATCTCTTGCGTTTTTTTCTCTCGTTTTGACAACCCTCGATTTGCTCGTTTTTCAGACAAGTTCTGCGCATGAGCGATTATGGAAAAAGAAAAAAAAGAAGAGGAACGGAGAAGAGATGATGTTTAAAGATCCGTTCTGTTCTATTCATCGTGGGAGTTTCCAGATTCGCTTTCAGTTGTGTCTCGTTTTTTAAAATTTATTTTCTAACCACTTCCAAGATTATTACCGTAAAACATGTAATAGAAGGGCTCCAAAACTTTAAACTTTGATCCAATTTTTCTCGGTTTCTGTCAAATATATAAAACAGTAGTCAATTGATAACTTTTTATCATAATACCAGAATTTTTTTTTTCAGTTGACACATGTTTGGTATCTTGCATAGGAATTGAGATAATTGAGCTTGAATTAGAGAGTGTGGGGCCCTTCTATTACAGGTTTTACGCTGATGCTCTGTAGTTTCAGATAAAAGAATAATCAGTAATTGATTGAATATACAATTTTTCTATGATTTATCGTGTTGTGAGTACAATTTGAGTTGGTTCCAAACCAGATGACCGGATTTCGAGTTTCAATTCCAAATTCCATGATTTTTTTATTTCAGTGTCTAAATTCCAGATTTCTTTTTTTCGTACCGGATTCCGTATTCAGCATTCCGTATTCTATTCCCCAAAAATTACATATGTTTCGTTCTGGATTCCGGTTTTCGGATTCTGAGGAAAATGGTTCGTTCCACGTCTGCAGCATAAATGTTATTTTTCAAGAATCCTCTGTGACTGAAATCTCAAACTTTGGCTAGAAACTGTGCACAAATAAACATATGTTTTTAAGAATAATTCTTTGAACTGGAACGGTCTGAATTCCGTATTCCGGGTTCCGTTTCTCGAAAAACTCGTTCCCGACGTCTTTGATCCCAAACTTACGGGTCATTATAAAAAATATATATCCTCTTGCTGCAAATTCAATGGTATAAATGGCATATCAATTTCGTTTTTCTTCTCGAAATATCATTCGCTTTTCTTGTTAAATTCTGGATTTTCATTCCGATCTTTAGGTCGTTTTTTGCTACATTGAACAATTTGATGAATTTCTTACAGTTAAAACTTTTTTTCTGTAAAATGGGAGAGGTTTAGAAACGTCCCTGATTGTCGGTCACCCTGTATATGCCTGGCTACACATAATTTTTTCAAGTTGACTTCTCTCTGTGATTTTCTACAGTTTCTCACAGTTTCATTATACCCAATTTGCCTACAAAAACCATGAAATGTCACATTATCTGATGAAATTTGATAAGCAGTGCGAGTCATTTTTTTCATCTTTCTTTTAGTATTGTTCTCCTGATCACACACAATAAAACACGGAGACTATGTTAACTATGTTATGACTATGTTTGCTGGGGCGCTTTTTCTGACCCCCTCGCCTGAACCCAAGTGATATGTTTCCAATTCCAAACTTTTACAAAATTCTATATTCCAGTCATAAAAAATTGTGTCTCCCGACATAGATCAAACCCATTTGGAAAGAGATCCATTCGGATTGTCATCACTACTTTTTGAACTACAACATACGAACACGGCGCTTGTTTTGCTGACAAATAGAGATTTTTATGTCATCTCTCTATATCTAAATCTCTTCCTCTCTAACCCTGAACGTGATCTCCTTGTATCTTCTTTTTTTTTCTTCAGGTCTTTGACAACTTCAATTTCAGACCTTTACTTCTCTACTTTCTCAAATCCGATAATTCATGCTGGCCAGGTAATTTTAGACTTAGAATTGAGATCATTCTAGTTCAATCTCTGGTTTGCCATCCTTGAAAGTAGATCGTAGTACAATGAAACGAAGGAAGAGACACAGACAGTTGAAGAAACTGATGTTTGTCATCATTTCGGGCCTCCTTCTCCTTTTCGTTCTTTCTGACCAAGTACTTGTATATAAATAAGGCACAATTTGACAGTCGACCAAAAAATTTTGAACTGAGAGATCAATTTCTATGATCTATTTTTTAAAAGTATTCTCTAGCGGTTAAAATTTTCAAATATTAAACTTTCTAGTAGATAATTTCTAACAATTGTTTTTGTCTCTGACATCTGTTTACCGAAATTTAAAAAACAGGAACATTTGGTGTTTGGTTCTTTACTCCTCTGCCAGTTTAGAATGTTTTTTTCTCATTTCATTTTCTGTTTCTTTTTGGTTTAAAGTTATACCGGAAATTATTCTCTGCCGCTATTGTTCACTTCTGTCCCTCCAACTTTTTTTTCTCCTGACTCGCTATATAAAGTCCGAATTTCAGAAAAATCTATCAATTTTCTACTCGAAGAACAATGCCCGTGCTCGCTGGAATAAACTCGAAAGTGCTCAAAAATGGTTGGTTTTTTTAATTGACTAGTGGTCTCTCCGGAGTGCCCCTCTATTAGAGGGGCCGTTCAATTAGAGGGTGCCATTTTATTTTTCCGGTGTTTTTGAGAAATCTTATAGAAAAATTCGGAATATTTCCGTTAAATTTTATGGATATCTACCAATTCATTTTTTTGCGGAAATGACGTTTTTGTATAATTTTGAGAAAATTTTATAAATTTCGGAATTACCGACAAATTAAAAAAAAACGAACAATTTATATTATTAAAATGTAGGGTTTCTAGGTCACTGAAAATATATCAATTCCGAGTTCAATGTGAGCTTAAAATTCTTATTGTTTCAATTAAAAATTTTCTGAACCTGGTTGAGAACCAGAAAAGTTAACTTGCTCTTCTTAATTTTCACTCTACAGGTGACTCGGAGCCATCTCCACCACCAGCTGGAATCTACCGTATTTACAACATGCGATTCTGCCCATGGGCTCAACGTGCACTGATCTACGCTTCTGTAAAGAACGTTCCAAGTGAAGTGATCAATATTCATTTGAAAGAGAAACCAGACTGGTACTTCTCGAAGCATTACAAGGGACAAGTGCCAGCTTTGGAGCTTGACGAAGGAAAGAAACATGTGATCGAATCGGCTCACATTCCAGAGTATTTGGATGATTTGTTCCCAGAATCTCGTATTCTTCCATCTGATCCATATGAAAAGGTTCAACAAAAATTGTTGTTGGAAAGGCTCGCTGCAGTTGCTCCAGCATTCTACGCTGCTGCACAGGCTGCCAATAATCCGGAGGGTCGTGATGAGAAATACGCTGCTCTTGTGAAGGCGTTTGAAGATGCTGAGAAGTTGTTGACTGGAGATTTCTTCTCTGGTACGTAAGGAGGCATTCAGTAGAGATTGGTTTTCTATAAAATTAAAAGAAAAATCATGCAAATTTTTTAAATTGTGTTTTTCCAGAACAAAAATACCGTAAGCACTTTAACGCTCCCTGAACCAAGATTTTTGAGCTCTAATATCTCGGTTTCTGTGAAACATATCAAAAAGCTGTCAACTGACAAAATGTTAATCATACTATCAGACTTTTGTCAGTTGACACATTTTTGATACCTTTCATAGTAATTGAGATAACGGGGCTCAAACGCGATAGTGTGAGAGCTCTTCTTATAAAAGTTTTACGGTATGCCAATTTTTCCAAAAAAAAAAACATTATTTTTCTAACTATAAAACACAATTATTCTTTACAATGTTAAGTATTATACTGATAACACTACAGTTTTTTTCATAGAATTCTTTCAGGAAAGGCCAAACCAGGATTCGCCGACTACCTGATTTTCCCGAACTATCAACGTGTCTTCTGGCTTTCCCACATTCTTCCAAACTCTCCATTTTCTTCTGAATCTTTCCCAGGACCAAACTTCCCAAAATTGGCAAAATGGTACAGAACATTGGACTCGATTCCAGAAGTGGCTGCTGCAAGTCAACCAACTGAAATGGGCGTCGGATTCTTCAATGATTATTTGAAAGGAACTCCTAATTATGACTATGGATTGTAAATTGTGCACTCTCGAATGAAACTGAATTAAATAAACTGACTGGGATTAAATGGATTGTTTATGTTTTTAACTCGAGAAAAAGACAAAAAGAGGATGCTTTTAGATTATGTTGGATGGAAGGAAAAAGAAAAGAATGAGGACAAGATCTGATTGTTGTCTTCTCGTCCATCCAGTAGTCACTTTCGCTTTTATTTCATAGAATACGACGCGGATGTCTGTATCGCTTTTGCAAACTTTTCTTCTTCCTCTTTTCCTTCTTGGCATTCAAGGTTTTTTGTTGCTAACTTTTATGGGATATCTGCGCTGATTTTGTACTATACCTTTTTTGACTTTCCCGATTAGCCATTTGGCTTCTTTAAGCCTTTATTGTTTTTTGTTGTTTTTTTGAATTTATACAAAACGTTTCGTTTTGTTTTTGTTCTGTTGGTGACAGAGTTTTTTGATAAAAGTATCAGAAAAAAAAAAGAAAAATGAGAATTTAGAAAGTTAAGATTTGTGGATTTATAGCAAGAGTGATGATATTTTCGCATACTTGCAACGGGCTGGAGTTCCAGTAATTTATTCATGTCTTTTCAAAAATAATTTTGGGGTCAATTAAAAAATGAACAAAAATTCTGTCAAATAATGTTTTTACTCAAAAAAAAATTGGAACAAAGTTCAAAATTAGAAAATCGGACCTCGATTTTTCAAGTATTCTTTTTGTTTCCCTGTTTTTTTGTAACCTTGTTTGATAAGAATTTTTTGTTCAGTTTTGGATTTCAACAAATTTCTTATTCATGAAAGTAGACAAGTTTAACAGGCATTAAGAAGATGAGAGCTTCTGTCCGGTTTAATTTTATACTGCGAATATTCCAGAAACAAACTTTAGACAAGAGTTAATTAGGAATTCCCAATTAGAAAAAAAAACACAACTTCAAACAATTTTAATGCCAAAAAATGTTTTGATTGGGCTCTTCAAAAGCTTTGGGATTTTTCGAAATCGAAATTCTTTTATTGACTATTAATTTTGAAATGTTGGTTATGAAAGATAAAAGACAAATAAATGCAATAATTTATTGAATTTCCAGAGAACTTATACCAATAAATGAAAAAACTATCTTGTTTTTTGAAAAGACTGAAAATATTTAACACACATTCTCTGAGATTTTCGAGCAACGCGCTGTACAAAAAAAATCAAAATTTTCCAAATGTGTTGGTATTACATACAGTTAGTACACTTGAATTTCTAAGAATTCTGAGGATATTTTTGATTGGCTCCGTCCACTTGGATCCGATCTGCAAAACTCGCTGATCAAAAAATAAATATTTTTTATTTTTCGAAATAGAAACGAAGTCTTTTTTGGAGTAAACGTATTTTGTTATTTCAAGCATTTTCTATGTGGAGACCAAAAATGTAGAGTCTCATCTTCCTATAGAAAACTCCATTCTTTCGTGATTTTTGAATTTTTTCGCAGTTTATTCAAGTTTTCGTGGTTATGGGACTGCGTGTGAACGGATTTTCAGAATTCTCATAAAATTTTGTTATAGAAACTTTTTAAAAATCATCAAATTTGTAGGACCGAAATAACGAATTTCGCGAAAACGTCGATTTTTTCGACTACTGAAAAATTTCGAAATTTTTTTTAGTTTTCAGTTTTTTTGAAGTTTTGTTTTCTTCATGAATTTGAACATAATTAATCAAAATACGTTATTTAAAAGCAATGTTGGTGCACTTAGCATTTTATTTTGTGATTTATCAATGAAAACCACTAATTTGAAAGTTTATATAGCAAAATTTTATGAGAATTCTGAATCTGCAAAGAAATCCGTTTACACGCAGTCCCATAACCACGAAAACTTGAAAAAAAATTGAAAAAAAAAATCTAAAAATCACGAAAGAATGGAGTTTTCTATAGCAAGGCTTCCATTTCGGTCGGTCGAAAATCGCCGACCGCCGACCGACCACCGACCCAGCCGACCGACAGGATGAGACTCTACATTTTTGGTTCCAACATAAAAATGCTTGAAATAACAAAATACGTTTACTCCAAAAAAGATTTCGTTTCTATTTCGAAAAATAAAAAATTTTATTTTTTGATCAGCGAGTTTTGCAGATCGGATCCAAGTGGGCGGAGCCAATCAAAACTATCCTCAAAATTCTTAGAAATTCAAGTGTACTAACTGTATGTAATACCAACACATTTGGAAAATTTTGATTTTTTTTTGTACATAAGAAAATGGGTCGATGCTCGAAAACTACAGAGAATATGTGTTAAAATTCCTAACTCTCCTATTTCTTCTAATAATTAATCTCCAATTTCTGAGAAAAGAAATCCGAAGCATTTTCTTCTGAAAATTACATTCTCCAATTTGGTGTCTGAGACATCCGGAACTTGAATCTTGTTTATCCATTCTCATCCTTCTTCTTCTCTATTTCCCATTTTTCGTTCTTCTTCTCCTCAAATTCTAATTATTTATTCACAATCCATCATCAATTCGAGGGTCCAAACCAGTGCTCCTCCTCTTCTCTTTTTCTTACTTACGGGGTCAGAGTATACTCACAAAGAGAGCCTCCTCGTTCTCTTATCCTTCCCCTACTACTCTCTTCTTCAACGTCACTTGTCGTGTCTGCGTCTCTTCTGCCGTTTCCACTATCTCGTTGCTTCTCCGGTCACCTGTCTTCATTTTTGCTAAATGCCACGACAATTACTGCGTCGTGGAAGCTTCTGATGTCTCAATTGTAATGAGTCGAACGGTCTGAAGAAAAGAAGAATAGGGAAAGATGATGATCTATAGCTGGGAAACAAGAAGAGGCATAATAAGATACTAATCTCATCGTCTGTATTAAGTTTTCTAACTTCTTTTCTAGACTTGTTTCAAACGAATTTTTAAACTTTTTTCTTTTCAAATTTTTTTACCATTTAAAATTTTGTCCCAAATATTTGCTCACGACATTCATGCCTTTTTGTCCCTCCGCGAAATTTTTGACGTTTCTCTCTCCAAACCTCTCATTTTGACTATTTTGACATATTTCAGGAACCTTTTGATTTTCGATTAGCCGTCACAATTCTCATCCTCATTCTTGGACTGTACGGCTGTCACCTATATATGAAAATGAAAAAATTGACAAGAGATACTCAGGAACCACTCTTACGTAAGTTTTTGTTCAAAATAACTGGGATATTTTTTAAAAGAACCTGAAAGCTCAAAATTGAAATTTTCGTTTTTGTGATTGATCAATTATCAAAAACTGCCATTCAGTGTAAAACCAAAAAGAACAGATAAATTTTTGAAATATTTTAGAAATTGAAAAGTTGGAAAACTAAAAATGTTTGAAAAGCGATTTACTTTCCTGATATTATTACAGAAGTAAAAAATCCGAAATCCCCGAAAAACGCCCTCGAAGTGAAAATTTTGCTAAAAAAGGTTGTCGTGGCCTAGGTTTCACACTGCGCTAGAACTCAAATCCTTTTTGATCGAAGTTCCTTTTTGATATATTTTAGAAATTGAAAAAATTCAAAAATTGAGAGTCAGAAAAAACTTAAACGGAATCACAAAACTTTATTTTTTCGAGGTCAAAAATGACTAAATCTTGAATTAATTTGAAAATCAAATATATTATTTTTACAATTTTTTAAAAAATTTCAGCTCATATCCGACCTCTCACGAAGAATAAAATAAGAAAATACCTCTATGCAGCCATTTTTATAATAGCCATTTATCTACTTAGCCGATCATTAAACAATAATAACATAATTCAAACTGGTATTGGAAGGAATGGAGATGTAAGTTCCGGATTTGATATTTCAAACGAAATTCTGAAAAATTTCAGTTCATTGAATTCCAACCAAACGTTTTGGCTCCAGTAGTAGAACCAGTGGTGAATAATGTGAAATTAGATATTTATATGGAAGCACAGTGTCCAGATACTTCAAGGTACGAATTAAGTTTATAATTTGAATCACGAATTTTGAGTTTTTCAGATTCTTCCGCCAGCAACTCAAGAAAGCATGGGATCTTCTAGGAAGACTCAATAGAATAGAATTGAATGTAATTCCGTTTGGAAAAGCAAGATGTACAGAACGAGGAAATGACTTTGAGTAAGTTGTATGAGCCAAAAACAGTAATTACCGTAAAAACTGTAATATAACGCCACCTGTAATAGAAGACCCCTCTAATACAACGCCACTCTTAAAGGGTGCTGATAGGTATCAAAACAAAGTTTTTATGTGTAATTAACAGAGTAGCAGTGGAATCTAGAAGTTTAGAACCTTTTTTTCATTTTGGTACTTTGTTAATCAAGTAAAAAACCAATTTTTGTTACCTCGCATTCTCCCAAAACACCACTCCGAAAAATAGAACGCCATGGAGCTATATTATAGGTTTTACGGTAAATTTCTTATTAATTCAGGTGCCAATGCCAGCACGGTCCAACAGAATGTGAAATCAATCAGCTAATGAATTGTGTGATCGATCGTTACGGTTTCCCACACATTTACCTGCCAGCTGTTTTGTGTATGCAAGGAAAATATTCATTGGACGAAGCGATGAAATGTGTTACGGAACACTTTCCAGTTGAATACAACAGGTTCGTTGAGAGGAAAAAAAATCATTTCTACTGAAGAAAAAATTATGGACATTTGAGACGAACAACAACTTTTTAAAAATGTCTTAGGGAGACTCCGACCAAAAATTTTTATTGCATCAAAATGTTTTTTAAAACTTTCAAAAAAGTTATGTATCTTCCCAATATTATTGTGAACCCTTTTTCAATTCAAAATACAGGAAAAACGCTGTTGAAAATGAAACAATGGCGGTGAATAGGGACGAGTATTTGAGTTCCCGCGCAGTGAGAAACATAGGCCACGACCGCGGGACGCCTTTTTTTACATAGCAATTTTCCGGATTTTTCCGATTTCATCTCCGGCACGTGAGAAACGTGAAAAAACTGTCGGCCAATTCAAGAAAGGACTCCTGCTGCCGTGGCAGAGGTTTCTCACAACACACGAATTCAAATCCTCCTTCCTATTTCCAACCTTTTTTAGCGGTCCCCCTTTAAGAAAACCCGAAATAATTCTTCAAAAGTATTATGGTTAATTTTCATTTATCAATTTCTATTTTCAGAATGCGTGAATGTGCTTCTGGCCCACGTGGACGACGTCTTCTGGCTCTATCCGGCCAGAAAACAGCTTCTCTCACTCCAGCAATCGACTTTATTCCTTGGATCGTAATCAATGGAGCTAGAAACTCAGATGCTCTTTATGATTTGACACAGAACACTTGTGAAGCAATGCAACCCATTCCACAAGTCTGTAGAGAATATTTAAGTTCAATTCAAAAATAATATGCATATTTCTAAACGGGTTCTCTCTTCTTAATAATGGTGTCCATGAGTGCCTTTCAAATTGTTCTGCGGGTTTTTATCTCTCTTGTTTTTTCTAGTTGTTTTTTCCTGTATGCATTACTTAATTAACTGTTTCTTTCTGAAATAAACTGATTTTAACTTATCTGAAACATCCGAAAGTGTGACCACAAACTAGTCTTTTCGTTTGAAAAAAAAGAAGAAGAAGGAGGGATTTACGAGGATAGTGTCACTACGAAAGGCTATGAAGCGAATAAGAAAACGATTCAATCATCAGCTGCTTTTCATCTTCCCCCTGTTTGCCATTCAATTTGTCACTTTTCCTGCGAATGAGAAGAATTCGTTTTTTTTTGCATATAATTTTTGTTGCTGGGTGGCGCACAATTACCCGGACTGATAAAAGTGGTGATATCTTTAGATATAAGGATCTTGGAAGCACGAAATCTGGTAATGATAATTTTACGTTTGATTCAAAGCTACTGTAATTTTCAAAGCGATACCTTGAAGAAATGCATAGTTATGATTGTCCAAAGATGAACGGCAAAATTTTTCTTGTGATTTTCATAGGATGAAACATTTTTTACAAGCGATAACTCAGCTTAAATAATGTGAAATTTGGCCAGTTTACTGATAAATCATTCAAATTTTCGACCTTCAAATTTGAGCCCAATGGGCTTTGCTCAAAATTGGTGTACACAGTATTTCTTAAAAATCGACTTCTAGAAATTGGGAAGTTTCTGCAAGCGGGCTTTTTTTCAAATATAATCAATTCCAGTACAGTTTTTAAATTCCTTAGTATTTACTTGAATTTTTACTTTTTTCTAAATGACATTGATCTCGGTGGTTATCTAATCAGGTCATCAGCTGATTACATAATGTTTTCTGTAGGACCATAACTGCAAAAGTTTGCGCCACACGGCGTTGCGGAAGGGAACCTTGATTAGAAATTTAGTACTAATTAGTTCGTTCAAACTTGGCTTAAGCTAAATTTGAACGAACCGAACTTTTACCAGATTCCCCAAGATGCCGTGCGCCAGTGTTGCCTGCAATCTTCTATTAATTTTCTTTAGTGATCACTTTTTTAGTTACCACTTTCTCTTCCTTATCACTGACCCCTTCCCTTTTTTTCGTCATGAATCTCTCTCGTCATTAAGCCGAAATTGATAATAGGGGATGTGTCTGAAGGCTAATCGAATCTTGATATAGTTCAGGAGGAAAAGAATCTCTGGTGTCAATCGACTCGTGAACAAATCTATCCTTCTAGAATCTTCCTCTATTTCTTTTCTTCTTTTCTTTTGAAATGTTAATTGCAATCTGTCTCATTTTTGGTAGTGGAAAACATGACGATAACAGGAAGCTAAATGAAAGAGGGAAATGACGGATTGGATTGAAGAAAAAGAGAAAAAGACAAAGAGAGAAACCGATATCTTCAACGATTCAATTGTATGTTTCAGTGTGACGTAATATCATATCCATCCATATCTTATCGCTTTTCTCTGTTAGCTTCTCATTGCGTAAGTGTACTCTTATTTGGTGTGTAGCCATAATTTTTTAAAGTGAAATCTGGAATTTCTGTCCTAAGTTTTGCGAAAACCAATCTTACTATTAAAAATGTTTTCCCTATTCATTTTCGGCAAAAATAAGTTTTATGGTTTTGCAAAAATATCTGAATAAAATGCTTTTCGAATTCGTAGATGTCTTATTTTTTTCAAAAATCGAAATTATATTCAAAAAATCTTTTTGTGGGTCCATTCTAGTTATAAATTCCATCTGCGGGCCTCTTATCTAATTGTAAGGGCTATGAGTTACTGTAAAACCTGTAATAGAAGGGCTCCTACACTGTCAAGTTTGAGGTCCATTATCTCGATTTCTATGCAAGGTTAAAAATTTTTCAGCTGGCAAAATATTTGTGATATTATGATAATCATTTTATCAGAAGACCACTTTTGAATATCATTCACAGGAATCGAGAAAAATTAACTTGTTTAAAACTTAGTCGACCCTTCTATTACAGGTTTTACATTATTTGATTAGTCTACAATTCCTTCTAATTTGAATGTAGCTTTTCGAAAACAAAATTATCAGACTACAATTAGATGGGAACAGTGGCTAAACCTGAATCCAGACTTTGCGATTTTTGAAGTGTGATGTATTAGATAATCCTATCCTTTTCGTATCTTTTTTTCGTTCCATTCCTTTTGTGTTTTGTTAGATTAATCCTTTCTTTTCCACACCTTATAAACTTTTTTCTCCCTAAACCGGTATATACAGTTTCTTGTTTCTGCAAATTTTATTTTTTGTTCGCAACGATTTTTTTTCAACCCATCCATTTTTTTCAGTCAGCTAAAATAATCCAGATCAAAATATATTTGTTCTACTTCATTCTGATTTTGCCATTTCACAATGGCACTTCTGGCCCGTAAAGCGCCAGCTTTTCTGCCGGCGTCAACGTCTTCTGCAGTCAAGCATATGATTTACGAAGATTCACATTTTGCCATGCGAAACAGTCTTACAAAAATGATCAAAGAAAAAATCAATCCAAATGTTGCACAATGGGAGAAAAGTGGAAGATATCCAGCACATTATGTATTCAAAATGTTCGGACAGTTGGGCGTTTTTGCAGTTAATAAACCTGTTGGTAGGTAAAAAATTTACTCTGAACCAATCCAAAATAAAAATATTTTTAGAATTCGGTGGAACTGGCCGAGATTTTTCAATGTCAATCGCAGTTGCTGAGCAAATTGGAGCAGTGGATTGTGGATCAATTCCAATGTCAGTTATGGTACAAACTGATATGAGTACTCCTGCGTTGGCACAATTTGGTTCTGATTTTCTTCGAAATCGGTTCCTCCGTCCCTCGATTAATGGAGATCTTGTCAGTTCGATTGCAGTTTCAGAACCTCATGCAGGATCAGATGTTTCTGCAATTCGTACGTACGCTCGAAGATATGGAACTGATTTGATAATAAACGGATCAAAAATGTGGATAACAAACGGTGATCAAGCTGATTGGGCATGTGTTTTAGTGAATACGTCGAATGAGAAGAATCTTCACAAGAACAAATCGCTGATTTGCATTCCTTTGGATACACCTGGAGTCCACAGATCAACTCCTTTGGATAAATTGGGAATGAGGAGTTCCGATACGGTTCAGTTATTTTTTGAGGATGTCAGGGTGAGCAGTTAACAAAGATTCTAAATTAAAATTGAATTCTTAACACTTTTGTAACTCCGGTCATTGAAACAGTTCGTTTTAGAAACCGCCAGGACTTGAAATATAAGAGATAGAGTGAAACTATAGAAAAAATTTCTTTTCTACTTAAGATGTTTCATGAAAGTATCAAATTTGCAAATTTAAAAATATTTGAAATTCATATATTTTCTAAGTTACTATTAGATGTTTTGTACTCATGTATACTCTGGTCTAACTTGTGCGCGTTACAACCGAAAATTCGAGGTGGGCGGAGCTAAAGTTTGATAGAGAAATCCTCAAAGGAGCATGTAGTTTTTGTAATTATTTCCTAGCCTATTTTTTTTATTTTTCGATAATTTCCTTATCTTTATGCGGGTTTTTGCCATTCGTCGGATTTTTTGCAAGTTGAAGAACTATGAAACTTATCGAAAAATATAACACATATTACTCTTGTCCGAAATCAATGATACGGTAGTTCGCTCTTTCGCTTTTCAGAAACATTTAGCGAGACACGGTGTTTTTTTCAGGACGTAAAGTAAATGCTCTCTACCGCGAATACCGTAGTTAAGCGCGCTGAGTATCGACGCGCATGCTTTAAACTGAACTGCTTGAGTCGCTGCGCAGGTGTGCCTGCTTTCCATCAGAAAATGCGCGAATTCAAAATCATTTTAAAAAACGTTCCGGAAAAAACACCGTGGCGAGATATCCTCTCGAAACGTGCGTTGATTTCGTACAAGAGTAGGAATTAATGACGAAAAATACTGAACTGTACTATTTTAAATACATGCTTTGGTTTCGCTACAAGACCTAAGCTCCGCCCACACAAGAATTTTCAGCCGCAAAAATTCGTAAAGAATGTTTTTGTAACGAATAGGACATAATACTTCTGTTAATGAAAATTCTATTAATTTCAGGTCCCGTCCTCCTACATAATTGGAGAAGAGGGCCGTGGCTTCTCATATCAAATGAAACAATTCAATGACGAACGTCTTGTCACAGTCGCCGTCGGTCTTCTTCCTCTTCAAAAATGTATCAACGAGACGATTGAGTACGCAAGAGAACGGTCAATATTCGGCAAGACACTACTCGATCAACAGTATGTTCAATTTCGATTGGCTGAGTTGGAAGCGGAACTAGAGGCCACTCGATCTTTGCTCTATCGGACAGTGTTGGCACGGTGCCAGGATGAGGATGTGAGCATGTTGACGGCGATGGCGAAGTTGAAAATTGGGAGATTAGCTAGGAAAGTTACAGATCAGTGCTTACAGGTAGGAGATTTTTGGATTGGATGAGGTGTGAGTAGATGTTTTTCAGATCTGGGGAGGTGCTGGATACTTGAATGATAATGGAATATCTCGAGCGTTCCGAGACTTCAGAATCTTCTCGATTGGTGCTGGATGTGATGAAGTAATGATGCAGATAATTCATAAAACTCAGTCTAAAAGACAACAACAAAAATCTATTTGAAATGTTCCAAGAACCCCTATATTTGTAAATAGCCGAATAAAGGCATCAATGTTTGATTGTAACCTCCATTTATAAAATCATATCGCATTTGATTTGGCACGTATAGCTTGTAACCAGTTCTCACTGACCCCGGGAGTCAATACACTCAATTCAAGTTATTATATTTATATTTGCCATGTCTCTCCCGAAAGGAGAGCGGAGCAAAGAAGTCTTCTTTCTCTTCTTCTACTTCTTCTTCATCCATGGTTTTATTGACATTTTGAAAATGAGAAGAAGCTTGAATGAAACGCGAATTACTCGAAAGTAAAGTTACTTTGGAATTGAAACTACAGTAAGAAGAAACCGGTTGAAAAGTAAAGATGAGCAAGGAACGATGGGGGAATGAGCACAGTATATAAGGTTTCTTGAAATTGTGTTGGCTCATTGATATTTGTTTGTTTTTGATCTTCACACTTCTTTTAAATTTCTAGTGTTTTCGATCTGAAAGTGGATAGATCGAGCTGTTTTTTTTTGTTAACAGACTACAGAGACCTAAATATCGTATGAATTGGATTCAAGAGTTCTTTTTAAAATTTGAAATTTTGTCAATTTTGTACTTAACCCACATAGTAAGACTTTAAGAAATGGACATACAGTACCGTGCAAAAGGTTGTCCACTTTTTGTTTTCCTAGCATAACTTTCTTCAAATAGAGCTGATGAGTCAAACTTTTTTGTGAAATGTAGCGAATCGCCCGATAAAAATGATGCAGAAATATTATCATCTTGAAAAGAAGAAGAAAAAATTTTAACGAAAAAATTCACTTTTTGGAAAATTTTGGATTTTTGAAAGCTTTTTTCAAAAATCAGGAAAAATAGAAAACGATCATTAATGTGAAACATTAATATTTTGAACATGATCAAAGTAACTTTGGCCAACTTTTAAGCAGATATTACCTCATTAAAATACAATAATGTGTATGATATGGTTGTTCGAAATGTCAACTAGAGATTTCCGGCTTCTGGGCTTGTTCTACCATCGTTCCACAATTTCAAATTTCAATATTCAATACTTTTTATGTTTTTATCATTTTTCAAGTGTCATTCTACAATACCTGATCATTTTCCAATTGAAAAGATGTTTCTTCAAGCTCCAAACACTGACTTTACAATTTGTGAGACAAGCTAAATCTCGCATAAGGTTCACTTCTAGCCATTCTGGTAGAGTCGGTTGAGGGAGTTCGGTACTTATTCTCATAGATATAAATACTACAGTTTAGTGGCATCCTGGAAAACATGATTACCTTTTGCGGAATGCTAGTTCCTGGCTCTCGTGTTTCGTTTTCTTTTGGAGTCCAAATTAGAAAATTCCTGCGTTGGGTCAGATTGATAATTTTTTTCAAAGGTGATGGAATCTCATGTTAATTGTCCTGAAACAATTACAACAACTTCTTTGTGCAAATATATAATTAAAATTGATGAATGGAACACTCGGGAACAGAAACAAAATCTGTAATCTGTTTGATCATTATTTAACTGGAAAAAATTCTTTTCAAAATGTATTTTCGCGTTTCTATGGGCATTCCGCAAAAGGTAATCATGTTTTCCAGGATGCCGCTAAACTTTGGTATTTATATCTATGAGAATAAGTACCGAACTCCCTCAACCGACTCTACCAGAATGGCTAGAAGTGAACCTTATGCGAGATTTAGCTTGTCTCACAAATTGTAAAGTCAGTGTTTGGAGCTTGAAGAAACATCTTTTCAATTGGAAAATGATCAGATATTGTAGAATGACACTTGAAAATTAATAAAAACATAAAAAGTATCAAATATTGACAATTTGAAATTGTGGAACGATGGTAGAACAAGCAAAGAAGCCGGAAATCTCTAGTTACTTTGATCATGTTCAAAATATTATGTTTCACATTAATGATCGTTTTCTATTTTTTCCAGATTAAAAAAAACTTCCAAAAATCTAAAATTTTCCAAAAAGTGAATTTTTTGTTAAAATTTTTTCTTCTTCTTTTCAAGAGGATAATACATTGCATCATTTTTATCGGGCGATTCGCTACATTTCACAAAAAAGTTTGACTCATCAGCTCTATTTGAAGAAAGTTATGCTTGAAAAACAAAAAGTGGACAAGCTTTTGCACGGTACTGTACCATATTTCCTCTAATAGAAACCCACACAATCAGTCAACTTTGAGCTCAATTATCTTAATTCCTGTAAAAGACGTCAAAAATTAGCCAACGGATAAATTATTTATCATAATATCACCGATATTAAGTTAGTTAAAAATTTTTCATATCTTTCACAGGAATCGAGATAACCGAGCTCACCTTTCACGGATTGGGTGGGCTTCTCTTACATGTTTTACGTTATGTAGTCTTCAAGACATTTCCAAATCCACAGTTTTTTTTATCACCAAACTTCAAACTCTTGTCCCAATCCCTTTACTATAGTCATTTTCAAGTGTAAGAGTCTCTACTAAATCCAATCACCACGTGGTTTTTTGTATTGAATCAGAACCGAGAAAATCCGCTCATTTTGCTCTCGGGTCACTTCGGGAGCATTGACAAACATCTGAGAATAGAAATCATCTTTGAAAGTAACAAAGGGTTTTATTAGAGTATTTGGGAAATGTGCGGATAAGACTCTCCAGTAGATGATTTTCCAGAACCGTTTCAGATTGAAAAAAAAACATATTCACCACATATTTTCAAAATCCTCGATTCTCGGAAGTACAAAATACCTGAACATTAAAGTATTGTACCCCCGACTCGCGGGTTTTGTACCCCTTAACCCTTCGAACCCCGTAGAATCCCCGAATTGTTGTACCCTCGAATTATTTTCCTGAGATTTGACTAAATCATTTCATCCTCATTTCATCTGAACACAATCAACATCAATTCTAAAAAATATGTTCCCAAAGGCACCTAAAATTTGCTCAACTTCTAAAAAATGATACTGATCTTTTATCCCAATATCCACCCACAGTACTTCCTCACTTTCTTTTTCCAAACTTCTAAATCCGCAATTCAAAACCACTGTAAATGTACACGAGATTGATCAAAAAGTGTGTGTTATGGCACATTGTGCAAATAGTTCTGCCACATACTTACACTTCAACCCGACCGAAAGAGAATGAAGGGGTTTGTCGCAGTAAAACGTCTGCAAACGGCAAAAAAAAAGAGATTTTTGAAGTTCTCCGCGATTTTTCTTCTTTCGGCAATCACCTTCTTCTTCTTTATTATCATCCAATTAGTCATAATCATCCAATTAGTGGACACAGTCAGTGGTTTGGGCGAGGTAATATGCATAATAGTGCCATTTGGACGATTGCCATTGGCCACCACAAAACTTTCGATTATTCGGTTTCTGTGTGTTTCTTGGTCTTTTCCTCCATCCGTATTTTTTTATTTTCTTTTTTTGCTATTCACTTTCAGAAAGTGACCAAACTTTACATTTTTGAATGTTGTGTGTTCTTTCATACTGTAACTGAAGATAACTTCGACAAATACCGAAATTAGATACTGTAGTTTGAACGATCATTTTTAAAAATCACAGTCAAATAGGGAATGTGTCTTTGAGAACCTCAATGAGCAAATTTAGAGTCAATGCTCCAGGTTCAAACACTAAAATTCCATCTTGAGTTTAGTTGGATGGGCATAACTGTAAAACCTCTGATAGAAGGACCCCCACAGTGTCTAGATTAAGCTAATTTTTCTTGGCCTTATGAAAGAAATCAAAAATGTGTAGGCTGATAAAATTTTTAAAGATATTATGATAAACAATTCATCAGTTGACAACTTTTTGATATCTTTGACAGGAACCGAGAAAAATAGGATACAAGTTGAAAGTGAGGGAGAACTTTTTTTACAGGTGTTGTACTATTTTGAATTAGTGATAGCACTTAAAGTTAAATATCTATAAAAATGTCAAATCCATAATTTTCTATTTACAGGTTTATTTAATTGTATTGTAGCTCTATTCAAAATTTTTAAATCAATAGGAAATGTATAAATCCATTCTCCAAATCACCTTCCGAAAGTTTCAATTTATAAAGTTCGGGGCCGTATTCATGAACATTTACTTTTAGGTAAATAGAGCGTGTAAATGATTTACAAAGAGGAAAATAGAGTGATTGGTATTCATGAAAGTTTGATAAAAGAAAGCATTTTCCTTCAGATTTACATTGATTTTTCTTTCACGTCACTAATATTTTATTTTTCTTCTTGATTTTCCATTGATAATCTTGTGTAAATATTTACCCCTGTAAATCGATTTACTAGAAAATGGATTTACCGTATTCACAAAAGGATTCACATTTTTTGTTGCCTATCAGCATCCTTTCTCTTTGGAAACGATAAGAAATAGTTGCATTGAATTAAAGCCAGTCATAGACCACCTCTAGAAATGGTCCGGAAAAATGAAAAAGTTGAGATTACTTAATGTTGGTCAAACTTAGAAACATAAATCAAAAACAAACTAGAAGTACCTAGTCTGAAAAATACCAATTTTAATATTTTGTTAATTATAGAAATTATTTTTTGGGGGTTGGCAACTATTTATGGTTTTTTTTCAGTGTTTTTATGGGAACATGTTTTTATATTCTTCATATTATTCTTAGTTTCATCAAAATTCAAAGTTTTAGTTTTAAAACTTCAACTTTAATGTATGGAGTTTCATGAAAATAGTAAGATAAATCTCATTTTCCTACCCCTCAAGTTTGTAAATAAAATCAAGTGAGTAAATCATTTACCAATAGGAAAATAATTTTCATGAATACCAATCACGTTATTTTCCAATGTGTAAATCGATTTTCCCATTAGAAACTTTTAAAAGTGAACGTAATATTTTCTTTTTGTAAACAAGCAAGCTGGTGCGCCTTCGGCGTGATTCAATCTATTTTTTTCAAATGTTCGTCGCTTCGTTTCTCACTTTTTCTAAATAAAAGGGTCACGTAAATATATATGTATTTTTCAACTTTTTCAAAAGTCCACAGACGGACACGAGGACG